TAGACTATAAAGTATGTGATACTATAATGATGCAAATATGTTTTCTTAATTATCTTGAACTATTCAATTCATTAATGTAAATAAGAAGATGTGGTATGAGTGCAAATGAGACAACTCTCCATACAAGTCACAATGTATAAAAAGTAAACAATTATAGGTCAAAGTTAGGCCTTCAACACGGAGCCTTGTCTCACATTGAACAGCAAGCTATAAAGGGCCCCAAAATTACTAGTGTAAAACAATTCAAACAGGAAAACCAACGGTCCAATCTATATAAAAAAAACCAACCGAGAAACGAGAAACACTTATGAACCACACCAATAAACGACAACTACTGACCAACAGGCTCCTGACTTAGGACAGGTGCATAAAAATGCAGCGGGTTTAAACGTTTTAACAGGCGCCAACCTTCACCCAAACCTGAGACAGAAGTGTAACATTGCAACATAAAAAGACACACTATAAAATATCAATTTAAATGGCTTAACTCGATAAAAAAGACATTTAAACAAAATCAAGTAAACATACACTGACCGAATAAGTTTGATCTATGACACAACATAAAAACAATACTAATAAAAAAAGGATGTAGGAACAGTGTTAAAAAGACAACTCTAACCTGGGACAAAATGGCGTTAAATAAAATAACGTACACAGGTAAATTTGTATATAATAATTTTGTAGTTAGGAGTACGGAAGAAAACATTTAATACAAAATAAATAAATTTTTTGTTCACAGTACGAGTACAGAAGTGAAAAATTATTGTCATACTAAATACATTTTAAAAAATAGTTAGACAAGATATAACACAAAAAAGTAAACATTGAAATACAGAAATTTATTAAAAATTGCGTCAACAGGTCAAATTAACATGAATGTACGATTTGAGAGTACTCGCAGTTAATAAAGGCTAGTTAAAAGCCAAAAACAATTAATAATACAAAAGCATGCATCAGAGACTAAAATCAATTAAAACACATCCCAGGGATTCAACATTTTAACGCCATGGACAGTCAAAGAAAACATGACTTGTGCAATGCCAAAATAAAAGTATCGACAGGCAGTAGGATAGTTAGGATTTAACCTTATAATAAATATGTATCATGTTATATATAGATAAAGCAATCTCTAAATGGAAAAATAAACGTAGATGTGTATTTATACATCCCAAAAACCATTTATGTACCAATATGTCTAACTATAAACGGGCAGGTTTAGATACTAAGGCTGTTTTTAGAAATGGAATTTTGACTAAGCATGATTTGATTCAAACTAAAACAGCTACATTCTAAATGATATAAAAAAAATAAATATAATAATAAAAAGCGTATTATTAACTATTTTCAGAACTACCAAATTATTTGTTACATTATGCGTGTTTATAAAATTTCATTATTTAGCATTCAACTGATCTGTGGTAGTTAATGAGAAATAATTTTTCCTGAAAATCCATCTTCTCGACAATAATTGTGTTAAACTGATGTAGTATTATGTAACAGATGGATACACATGTCGGTAATAAGCTTAGAAGATTCCAAGACTCTCTTTTTTATTTTATTCTTTTTTTTCTTTTGTTTATCTAATTTTTTTTCCAGAACTAACCACCTAAAATATCTAGTTGAAAATTGTGCTTGGAACAATTACCTTAGTACAGTTTTTTTCAAAGGTTCAGGCTAATGATCAAAACTATTACTAAGAAACAAAAAGCGGACACAACACTAAAATTTTTGGAATCATGTTACCTTATATATTCCTTAAACTAAATTGTACAAATATGAAAGAGGAATGTCCTGGGTACATATAATTAACAGGAATTACTGCTGTAGGTCAATTCATTTGTTACAACAGCAAAAAAGGTCATTAAAAGATGTTTGCTACTCTGTTTCAAAATAACAAGCTTTTTAAAAAACTGTTATAAATTGATAGTATATAAATAAAGGAACTAAAAAAGCAGAAAAAAATGAAGGGCATGCACGCATAAGATATAATCCATTGAAAATTTAGCAGGAAATGATTCTCTCTAGATTTTTCATACATTTAACATTGGCACCTTTTTTCTTTCAAAAACTATGAAAAAATAACAAGGATTATATAAGATTTTCAAACATGGCTTTTAAAACAATATGTAATAACATTATGAAAAAAAAGTCGGGGTTAGTGGGCAAAATTTTTAATGGCACTACATGTATAAAATCAGAGGATTCCAAATATCTGGCTAAAATAAAAAAAACAAGAGGAGCGAACATCCTTAAAGATGTTTTTCGGCGAAAAAGTACATTTATTCGACACCAATTTATTAATTTGATGTATATCAAATTACGAAATGATATATTACAATGTGATTATCTCATTGATGGAATAAAATGGTCCAGCAGGTTAGCAATTTCTGATCCTTTATTGTTAAGCATTATATAGAATAAAATTGTTACCTCAGACATTGAGAGCATTATCTGAGCATTGTTTTGCTAACTGGGATATATTTATCATCCTTGGCGTAAAAAATTACCTCGGACGCACCTAATATACAAAGTGTTATTTTCACAAATTATCATTGTTTTACAGAATAAGGTTTGTATAGGAATAAAGGCAACAGTAGTATACCGGTGTTCAAAAGTCATAAATCGATTGAGAGAAAACACATCCGGGTTATAAACTAAAATGTCACGGCATAAGGTTTAAACTGAGACATGCAAATAATTTTGAAAACTAAGTTGACAAACAAACAATAAAGAATTTATTTAGGTTAAACCCATGTACAGATGACTATAACTACGTGGACATAAACAATTCAAAAGCTAGGAATTTTTTGGGGGGATTTATTGAAGAAAAAAGTTTGATAGACCCGTATCGGGAACTTTTTCCAGATGTATTGCGATACACTTGGCGGAAGAGAAAACTTTTTAAACAGTCTAGATTAGAATTTTTTCTTCTTACTGAAAACTTTCTAAATAGTCTCAAATATTGTAATGAACTCCAAGCTATCGATCAGATCACTCTATGAGTTTGCTCGATTTAAAATTAACCCTTTAATTAGGGGAAAAGGTTTATATATAAATAACACATAGCTGAGAGGGTGATAGAGCAGATTGTTACCCCGAGAAAACATGGTCAACTGAGGCAAAGCCAAGGTTGACGATGTCTTTTCGAGGGGTAACAATCTGCTCTATTACCCTCTCAGCTATGTGTTATTTAATTTATTATACTGAAGGTTCTGTTATTAATGTCTATTGAATTTCAAATTCAAAGTAATCAACTATGTCGTCTTGTACATAACAATCATCCGTATTTATTAAAGCGCACACTTGAGCAAGCGTCTCCGTGAAGGATAATAGAGTATTTGCCATGGGATAGAGTAAATTGTCTCCCTCGTATTAAAATCTGGCATTTTGATATGAAGTATAATAATAGAAGTTTAACAAAGCTTTTTTTTATATAAATACTGTTAGGCAAAACATACATGAAGTGAAAAAAGAATATTGTGCATTAGTTTATAATTTGGAAAATATTGACGAATTAGATAACAAAGACATTAATTTTAAAATTAACTGTCAGCGTTTGATTGACAATCTTTTGATGGAAATTAGGGGGAAACAATTTCGTATTTAAGTTATAAAAAAAAGCAAGACGAAAAAAGGGAAATAAACCTCCGAAATGAAGTAACTCAAATAGAGCAAGGAGTTGAAAAACTTTCAATAATCAAACTAGAAACAAAAACAAAAAACAAAAAAAAACATGAGCTTCAAAGTTTACGAATACGAGAACTAAAAGGGAAATTAGTAAGATCATGTGTCCAGTAATTACAGGAAGGAGAAACATCTTCTAATTATTTGCTTAGAATCACGAAAATTTATGAACAAAATTATTCATAAAATAGAGAAAGAAAATGGGGAAATTATTACAGAACGGAAAGTTATTTTAAAAGAAGTTAAATATTTTCATGACAAATATAGTTAAGAAAAAGTTTTTAAATTATGGTGTTGATTATGTAAGACAACTTTATATGACAGTAAACAACTATTTTTGGAAAGATGTTCTAAGATCCTGGGGAATGATGATAAAAAAAGAGAGAAACTTCACTTATGATTCATTTTTATCAAATCCACTGTGGCTTGCAAATAGCATTAAGACTGGCCATAAATTAGTATTTCATTGGTAAGTGGTATATGATGTGTACATGATTTTATAGACCAAAATGGATCTTATTTTTTTTTACCAATTTAAGCTATAACATTAACATGCATTTCTGAAATTTAACAGTGTCATTTCCGCAGTGAAAGAGGCACCGACATCTTTCGTATTTTGACTTCTTATACCATCATGTCTTCAAGTATTTTGCAAGCACTCTAAAGGATCAAAAGATATGTATTCTGTACTGACTAGAAATTATGTTATTCCTACTCATCAGTTAAAGTGTTAATAATGTTAGGTGACTAGAACCCGAACTGGAAAAAATTTTTCAAACTGCCTTTTGCTGTTACGAAAAATAGTTAAATTACAGTGGTTTTAATACAGGATTTATCATTGCATCTTTGCAACAAATCAGTATCTAGTTAAAAAAACTTTCTGGTGATCCTTTAGTACATTTTGTAAAACAGAAAACAGTTCTTTTGGAATGGCATAAATGTACAACATTTTCTACAGGATATTGATAACTGTTTTTTTTCCGGTGGAATAAGTCTCCCAATGAATAAATTAAACTCTCTTTACACAAATATTCTCCAAAAACCCAAATAAAAGTTTTTTTTTAGATAAAACAATATATGTTTACTTCTAGCTCATAAAAAGAATCTCTTATTGCAAAAAAATAAGATAAAGTTGAAGGATATGTACACATTAGAAAGTATGATAGCTGTAAAAGATAAAAAAAAATGACAAAATGTACACTTTTTGAAACCCTGCTTATCATATAATTATTAACCAATAAATAATTTTAGAGAATACATTATTTTCATATAATGTCCTTGACCCATGTTGCTGGCTGTTACGAAAGAAATGTGTATAGTTTTTAAATATTATTTATTCCTCACGAATATGTTATATTAAAAACAAATATACAGAAAGGGATGAAACTGGATACAGTAATTTATTTTCTCTTTTTTTCTCTCTCTTTTTATTCTTCTTCATTTTTCACTTCTATGATATCGGTTACCTTTTACTATTAACTTATTTATCTTTTTTCTATATTTTTTGAACTTTTTCCTTTGCTCTGTTCTAAAGAAAATGTATAATATTTCCAACTATAATGTATATATAATAATAATATTGTGTATCTTACATGTATCATATTGTATTTATGTCATGTTTATGCTGTAATTGGTTGAAAAAAAGAAAGAAAAAGAAAAATCAATAAAGAATAAAAAATAAGCATGTGATAAGTATTTTAAACAATTAATCAAGTTCAGTTAGTTTAGTAAAGGATGTTTATTGCTGTTTTTTCACTGAGTTTATGAAATGTTTGAATGGGCAAAGGCACCAAACGTTTTAAGAACCCCTCGATACTGCAACTTTTAAACACACGATTAAAAAATCATATTTGTACTTCATGATCAAGCATTGTTTACTAACAACCAACTTACGCGTTTAAACAATTATTGAAACTGTAAAGTTCTGTACAATACTCGTTGAAAAATTTAGAACTATAAGTTGTAGAGATTACCTACAAAGCTGATATACACATTACTTCTAAACATAAACATAAGATTTGTATTATTCCATTTTTTAAATAAAAATTTTGTTTAAAAACGGAGACGAAGCATATATACGTGCGGATATATAAAATTGTTTGCCTAAATATTGTTTTGATCGCCATAATGTGTTATGAATTGGCATTGATAATTTTGCAATCAATCCTATTTTAACCAAAAATTATAAATTCAGTTTCAATGTCTTAATTGTATGTTCATTGCTACCTCTTGGAATGGTCCTGTGTATACAAACAAAGACATCCAACTTATAAACAGGAGTCAAAGCAAGTCGGCCAAAACGTTTTCAATGATTCTGATATTTTTGCCAATGTTGTTGAAAGCCTTGCCAATGTCTCTCAGAGATGGTCGGATATTATGTAACGAGCAAAAGTTAGACTTCCACTCTTGAAGAATATTGCGATTAAGTTTCACTAAATCTCTTTCTGTTTGTCTGTATTTGATCTCCTCCCATGTTCGGAATTCCAAACCAAGCTCAACAAGAAAAGGCAGCGAGTTGTGTCCCACTAACGGAGCGACTCTGTCCAGATGTTCTTCTGTAGGAACCAAGTCCCATTTTTCTGGTTCTTGGTCTATGAAATGCAAATGAAAATATCGGTACAGTTGTGTTTCTGATAAGATTATATGTAAACAGTATTCGCTTATATTGCATTGTCTCCTTTTAAATTTAATCTGCACAAGCATCACAAGTTAAGAAGAATTTATTCTATAAAAAACTTTGTACAACTTAATAATTTACCAGTTATACATAGATTACGCTTATTGAAATCCAAAACGGCTCTACAGACACGGGCATAGCGAACAAGTTGGGATATATAAACACCTTAAGGTGGTGTTAAAGGAACATTACCGTCCAAAAAAGAAAGAAAATAACAATAGATAACGAGAAGTTGTCCCTTTTGTCGTAAATTTGTGTTTAAAATTTCTCGTGTAAAACTAAAATATCAACACCTAGGAAATGGCAGTTATTGTTGTTTTTTTGGTTTATTTAAAATAAGTACTTTTGAGTGAATATCTACACTCTATTTAGAATTATTGAATATTTAACGAAACAATATGATGAAGATAATAGAAGGTGTTGTTGAATTTATCAGTTAAATTGAATTTAGACGAGTCTTCTCTGACTTTGTCCATAAACTGCGTTTCAAAACAGTACAGAAAAAGTTTGTTATTATATGGGCGCAATTGGCGCCAATAGAAATACCTACAACCTGTTATAAACTATTTCGCCTAAACTTACATAAATGTTATCATTTAAAAAAATTTATAAGAACCATTATTTTGTTTTATCTTTAATCTATTGTTCAAATTGTTAAACTTACCAAAGTCTATTGGATTGCCTCTAACCACCTAAATGAAATGAAAACAAAACATCAAAATCTTAGAAAAAAAACCATGAATTACTAGTCATCTTAAATTTGTTTTCCTTTGCAAATCATATATAAACGACTTACAAAGCAAACTTTCATTTAATAACAATTGTCTGTAAAAAGACCAAAATAATTCGATAGTTACAAATAAGGTCTTAAAATCAAAAGAATATATGAACGATTAGAAATATCTCACCCTGCAAAGAGAGTGTATGGTCTGTATTTTACCATCTTCAGCCGCTTTTCTGATGTCATTAAATGTTAAATGGGAACACTCAACGGATCTTAGGAGTGCTTCAAATTTTAATCTCTCTGGTTCTTCGCCAAATGTCACAAACAGATCATCCCAGGCTTGATATTCCATCCCAAGATGAATTGCCAACTCTTTGGTTTCATTTATGTTGTACTGCATTGACAATCGGCGTAAGTGAATATCTGAAGGAATCTGTTCTAAGAACTCAGTATCGGTCACTGAAATGTTCATAGACTCAAAGATTATCAATATTTAAACGTTATATTTAAAAGCACATTTTAGAATTTGATACTCTATTTAATTGAACGATAATTGCCACTTATGGTTCTCAACAAGTAGGAGACAATAGTCAACAGTATCATCAAAGTGATATAATACTATTAATGTGTGGGTAGGAATAATGTGCAAATGTGTTGGTTAAAGAGTATCTTTCAAAATCAAGCAATTTGATATGGTATTTCGTGTAGGTTATAATAGAAACACATGTTGAACGGACAGAAATATGATCACACTTTATAATAATTCTAAATATTATATTTCAATTTCTCCTCTAAATTGCAGCTGCACAGGATTGAAGAATATTTTATTTTATAAAAAGCTTTGTACAACTTTCAAATTAAAGAAGGTTAACTTGTGTGTATTTTACAGCTAGCTATAAACGAGCTTAAATCTATCGTGTTCTTCGAATAAGGTCTGTACCAAATAAGGAATATGACAGTTGTTTTCCAGTTGATACCACTGAGTTCTTTAATTTTTCATGTTTTATGGACTAATGAGTTGATATTGGTTCCTTTGGACTATCAATCTCCGATGACACCCTCTGCATAGTAGCAATTGTGTCTGTATTGGCATGATTAGAATGGAGGGTTTGAATGCCCTCAAATGCCGCTTTTGTGAGTCTTCAAACTTTTTTAGGCATGCACAACGTAGTTTTCTAAAGACCGCTCTATGCACCTTTTAAAAAACTGTGCCGTATTTCAAATTAAGGTTTGTGACATAAATTGATAAACATTAATAAACCTAAAGAATATATATGTTATAGATACTATTAATGCATGTTAGAGGTTTTTAATAACTCTTTATAAAGTGGTGCTTTTTTCTCTGGTGTCATGTCATTTTACTGCAAAAATGCAGATAAACAAGAATACCAATAAATTATTCAAAATATATTTGCTCTCTTTTGACTGCAATACACTTTTTTTCCTCAAGAATTGAGAATGAGGATAAAATATTATAGCCCCCACCTTCATTAGATTACGTGGCTGTACCCTCATTGAAACTAGGTATTGTTCGGGTTGTTTCTTCAAACGAAAGGACTATCGTTCTGAAGATAAGTATATGTATATAGAGAGTAATCGATGTCAATCAAATCACGCATTGGCGTATTATTAGATACTAAATTTGAAACAGTAACAGATAAAAAAAAATGTTTTCGTAATTCATTTTGTCATGCTAGGCCTTTTAAAACGTACTATAATGTTTGTGTTTTGATCATTGTTGAAGACCGCATAGAGAACCATAGTTCCTCTTCCTTTTGTCACTTAAAGATAGTTGTCTCATTGACAATCGTTTTGCATCTTCTTATTTCTATACAAAATGAGCACGATTAAAAAACACATTTAAAATCTTTGGATGCAATCATGCGATAGATTAGTCATACAAAATATATACATCACCTGGGCATGCTGTTCCACATTGAATCTCGTCCTGAAATATACATTACAATCGAATAAGTTAATGAGTATATAAATGTAAGAAGAAACAAAAGGGTAATACAATAAAATAACAGACAAAATTTTGTCCAAAAAATAAACGAAACACACTTTACAGAAGACTTATGAATTAGTCACATCAAAAATTGAAAATGAATTCAAGATTCCGGAGCAATGAAAGGTTTGCCAGATCCTAAAATTATTATGAATTTTAGGAAACATGTATAGGAGCCAAAGTTTCTGTTTAATACAATTTGGAACAAAATATCTTTTGTGGGTAGGGCATTGGTTTATATACAAACATTAATGGCAAGATCCAACAATAAAGAGGTTGGAAGTCTTTATGCAAATATTTAAGACAAATATTTTTATACTGATATAATTGAAAGATCGACTTCACCATCTCATCAAACAGAACTTTTTCTATAAAAATGGGAATCGTAAATATAAATATCTTGTTTTGGGTTATAATAATTCTAATTTGAGAAGAACCACACTGGTTCTATCAGAAAATATACTGAAGATGATATTATTAAAATGCTTGACTTTTTGATCGACAATATATTTGTTGAGTTTGGAGGATTGATATTTCAACAGACAGTCGGTATTCCAATGGGTACTAATTGTGCACCCCCTACTGGCCGATTTGTTTTTGTACTCGTATGAAGCAGAATTCATTCAGAACCTTCTAAAAGACAAAAAGAAAAAGTACCTTGCGAAATTCTTGAATTTTACTTTCGGATATATTGATGATGTCCTATCACTGAATAACCCATATATCAGTCAGTACTTACATCTCATACATCCCAGTGAACTTGAAATTAAGGATACTACTGATACTAGAAGGACTGCTTCATACCTTGATCTTTTCCTCAATATTGACACAGATGGACGACTTCACACTAAAATCTATGACAAACGGGACGATTTCAACTTCCAAATTATCAATTTTCCATTTCTCAGCAGTAACATACCTTCTGCCCCATCGTATGGTGTTTACATATATCAGTTGATACGTTATACTCGTGCATATTCACACTACAATGATTTCATATACAGGAGTGTGCTCCTTACGCAGAAACTGCTCAAACAGAGTTATGAGGAGGAAAGATTAAAAATGACACCCCGTTAATTTTATGGACTCCATCACGAATTGATTGATCTATACGATGTGTCTGTGTCTAAACTAACTTACGACATTTTTACCACGTCTTAGATTGTGGTTTACCATCTACGTAGTCTGGTCTGCTAAGTACCGAACGTGACCAATTCCCAAATATGACTGTTTTCCCGAGTGTCAATTTGCATTGCTATTAGACGTGTCTCGGTATTTTTACATCCAACATTCATTTATTTTGTAATTCTGGTTGAATATTGTGTTTTGTCTTATCTTTTGTGGTTTGAATTCTATTTTTATTTTCTATATGTATGTAAAAGTTAAGATAATTAATCAGCTAGTTCATTTATATGATTTTTAGTTTAAAGCTACTATATGCACAGGATTTATTTGTTTTTACAGTTTTGATTTAGAAGAAAATACAAATAATTACACCATTACTAACACAATTCTATATTAATATTCTTATAATGCTTAGAAAATACATAAAATTTTATGAGTCCTGAGTGGTCTTGTGTTTAGTTGTAATGTATTCCTGTCACGTAATGTTGTCATTTTAGCGGTATTTTTAACATTGCCATATAAGCGGGAGGTTTGGCTAGCCATAAAACCAGGTTCAACCCACCATTTTGTCTTAAAATGTCCTGTACCAAGACAGGAATATGGCAGTTGTTATCAAATAGTCCGTTTCTATGTATGTTGTAGCAGTTCAGTGTTAATGTTGTTCCGTTGTTTTCCTCTTATAGTTGATGTGATTGCTCGGTTTATGTTTGTGACCCAGATTTGTTTCAGTTAAATCAATCTATGACAATTGAACAGCGGTATACTACTGTTGCCTTTATTTATATACCAATAGACTAATGTCTTATTAACATCTGAAGGATGGTAAATTTAGATGATTCTAAAGTTTTGGGTACCGTTATATATGACTATATGAATAATGACAGTGTTATTGTTTAGAATATCACGATTGACCAAATATTACAAAACATGTTTATCAATATATTACACCTGTCTCGAAAATACATTATAGTCTGTTTGCTTAAAAATGTCACGACTGAACAAATAGTAACAAACATGTATTAGATTAGAGCGTCACTGGTGAGTCCTTTGTAGACAAAAGGCGCATCTGGCGTACACAATTACAAGCTAGGTGTCTTTGATGTTTAGTTTTTCATACGTTATATGTTTAAAGTGTAAGATAGGTATGGCAAAATGCACATTTTCTTTTGCATTCGCTTAGGATTTACAATTATAGTAAAAGTATTATCACGTTTTTAATATTTCAATCTTAGATCTGAAATTTACAAAGTATTAAAGATTTATTCAAAACACATTTATCATCGTATAACGTAAAAGATTACCGTTTTTTTTAAATGCTTGATTGTACAGATATGCATAAAAAATTCAAGAAAAAATCCGAGGTTATTTAAACTATTCATACAACTTATTATCTATTTTATTTACTTGTATTTACCTTATGTATGGCCCACGACGACATCATGTCTTTGGTGTGCTCAATTCCGTGTTTTGGACATATCCACGAACCATCTTGTTCTTTAAGTGTTGACATTGGCAAGAGACAAGGATCTTCAGATGAACTGCAACACAAACTCAGATTGAAAGATCTTTTGCTATCAACACAATCTAAACTGCTGGTCTTGACGTAAAGCTGACTTATTTTCTCGAGTGCAACAGCTAAACATTCACGAATACTAGATGCTAGATCTCTCATAATAAGTGTTCGATTCCGCAAGTGAACAAGACGGACAACAATAATCTCATCATCACAGTTAACACACATATCTAGAGATTGGTCAATATTGAAAATAGCTGACCTATGAAACAGCATTTCATCGTTCTTCTGTCCGTATTTCTTCACTGCAAAAATACTCAAGCAGTAACTGATAAATCTAAAGGATAAAGCCGGTGGTATCACTGAGGAGGAAGGACTAAAAGCTATGGCGATATTACTCTGAATGAATGTCGGCGACATAAGATAACCAGTTGTGTCATTGGTTCTAACCATGCTGGCAACGTAGTAGAATTCAGCTGGTATACGTTTTTGTGACTTATCGTATCGTTTTGGTTCAACTAGTATATCAAGATGGGTCATGACTCCCAATAAATATTCCTTATGGTCTTTAAATTTATTGTACTTTTTCTTCTTCCAGATTTTTTCTATAGACTTCTTCTCTATTGTGCCTTTCTTACTCATCAAATCCCAAGATTTTTGTCTCATTCTGTCACCTTCACAAAACTTCCTATCAGTAACGATCGATTTAAAGGCATCAATCAGATGTGTCGGTGAAATGATGATGTGTTGATCCAAATTGACTTCGCCAAAGTATAAGATTCGTCCAACTGAGTGCTGAAATTTTAGAAATACTTTCAATTCCTGTTCAGTTAATGGTCTAACAGGTTGAAGGGAATTTATCTTTTCCATTTGCTTCATTGTTATCAAAGGAATGTTACGACTAAGAAGTGAATCAAATTCCAATTCAAGACGAATGAAGCATTTGGGAAGATTCTGACCCCATGTCGGTTGCTTCATGGCTTGCTCAGTTATGATCTTTTTGATTTGCGCCATTTCCGGATCACGTTTGCTCTTTGCATTTACAAATATTTGTTCTTTAATGACTAAATGAGAGTGCAATGGACTTCCAGAAAACATCTTCTCTATATCATGAAATATTTGTTGACGTCTTGATTCAACTTCTACCTGTAAACAAACGGATAGTCTTCAGTTTTGTGAATTTGCATTTTATCAATAAATAGATACAACATTTCTATACCAGTTGTAACAACTTATTAGTTTTTCATTGTTAATTGTTTTCTGGTGATTTTTAGATGCTATTCGAGTTGTTTAATATAAATAAGAAGATGTGGTATGAGTGCCAATGAGACAACTAACCACCCAAGTCACAATGTGTAAAAAGTAAACAATTATAGGTCAAAATACGGCCTTCAACACGGATCCTTGGCTCAAACCGAACAGCAAGCTATAAAGGGCCCCCAAAAATGACTAGTGTAAAACCATTCAAACAGGAAAACTAACGGTCTTATATATATAAAAAACGACAAACGAGAAACAATCATGAACCACACCAACAAACGACAACCACTGAACAACAGGCTCCTGACTTAGGACAGGTGCATAAAAATGCAGCGGGTTTAAATGTTTTAACAGGCGCCAACCTTTACCCTAACCTGAAACAGTGGTATAACATTACAACATAAAAAGACCCACAATAAAATATCAATTGAAATGACTTAACTCGATCAAAAAGACAATACAAAAAACAAGTAAATATACACTGATCGAATAAGTTTGATCTATGACACAATATAAATAAAAAAGATGTTTCAATGTCAAAAAGACAATTTTAACCTAGGACAAAATGGCGTTAAATAAAGTAACGTACACAGGTAAATTTAAATATAATAATTTTGTAGTTAGTACAGAAACATTTTTTACAAAATGAATTTATTATTCATAGTACGAGTACATAAGTGAAAATTTTTTCGTCAAACTAAATACTTGGTAAAGGTGGTACATATTACAAATAGTAAGACGAGATAATACACAAAATAAGCAAACATTGAATAACAGAAATGCATCACAAATTTTGTCAACAGGTGAAATTAACACGAAAGTAAGACTTCATTATCTCCATTTCTGAGCTCAAATAGTTCAAATTCATAATCTAATGTTATTCGCCTCTTATTGTTTAGTAGGTTTAAGGCATGAATTAAAGTTTTTGTTTCACTCACATTTCAGAATGTAATTACAAATATTGTTTTTGTGCGTATCGAGATAATTATAATAAGCTGTTAACTTTGTTTTCATAGAACCAAAAGTTTCAATTTACAGAACTAAATTATTTAGTAATTTGTATTGACGAACATTTGAAAGATAGAATGAATGCGACCAATTTAACATTTAGGCGAGGGCATAGCATCTAAAAATCACCAGAAAATTAAATGCAATGACTGTGTTTGAATTGCTTGAGGTGTTCGAATTTATAAATGATGCAATATAGCTAATTGTAACTCAGTCATATGCATTGATAAAACAGAAATAGTTTGTTTATCTGAAGTGTATATTATGTTTATGTTGGACTCAAATCTATGGTGGGTTCCAGATCTACGGCAAATTCCTAATCTATGGTAAATATGACGTCACAAACGCCAAACAAAGCATAAGTCTATGGCAGTTTTTTACATTACGTAATTTTCCGTCACAATTAAATAATGTCATGTAACGCCCAAGCCGCCGCTAACAATGACGGTATTGTTATTTAGAAAGAAAAGAAAAGGTAAGTTTTTAAGGACCCTACTCCATAAATTAAATTATATTTCAGAATTCGAGTTTACGTTAACGGCAATCTTTGCAAATGAGAAGATGTAATCATCTGATTCGGATGAAATAAGAATACTAGAGAACAAACCCATAGTCGTCCGTAGCAGCAAAAATGCTGATGCAGGCAATTTTCACACAAATGAATATGTTTTTCGAGTTTTCACTGTTAATGTTTCGTACTTGTTTCCACACTCGTTGATTTCTTTTCAGGTGTTCCTGTTGTCTCTCTTTATTGTACGAGTTTTTACTGTGCATTTTGGTTTGCTTTTTGCTTTTATTTCATAATTTTTCGTTGTGATATACTGTTTTTCTTGTTCTTTTTTTTTTATCCCTATGGTACTCTTTAATTTTCTTATTCATGTAACATAACCAATACCATTTTGTCTGCTATATAACAGCGACTACCTGAACTATTGTAGCAAATGATCTTTCTTTAGATTTTGAAACAAAATAATATGTCATAGATTTCTAATAACCATTACATTATTTTCAGCTATATTTATGTCGAATAACTGTACTGTTGGAGAAATAAGGATTTTTTACTAGAAATTCGCCATAGATTAGGATACTAACAATTTGCCGTAGATTAGGATTCTAAAAAATCTGTCATAAATTGGGGATGGCATGACGTCATAGTTACCAGAGATTAGGAATCTGCCATAGATCTGGAACCCATAGTAGGTTTGAGTCCTACATATATATTAAAATTCGAATTTTTCTAATCAGACATCGACTATATTTTTTTGGCCTTAACAAACACAGTGTTTGTATTGTTTTTTTAAAATATGCTTAGGCAAAGGCCAGTCAAATATTCAACCCGTGTTAAGTTGAATTTAAACAAAAAAATTCCATTGAAAGATAATAGATTAATTTTCTAAAGCATTTATTTGTATCTATGTTCTATAAACCATTAAGGACTAACTTTACTTACGGATCTTTAAAATGAAATTTCACAATACTTTGTGTATATTATCTAGGAACATGTGTTCTCATTTTTTAGTTGGCCCTCTCGCAAAATAGTATGACATGATTCTTTTATAATGTTTATCGAACAATAATAAAATGTTGACAATATTTAATTAGTACTTTTTTTTAATACTTTTATTCTTCTGCAGAATACTCAGCGTGCAATTAAAATTGTTTTTCTAGTTCCATGAGAGTCACTTAGTTTTAGATGATACCAGGGAAGAGATATAATTCGTATTGTGTTACATTATTTTTATGGCTCATTCAGTTTCAAATATTCATGGATTTTTAATGCACATAACACACATATTGGTTAAGAATGGTAAATAACTATTAGTGGACGTTTCCCGTAAATAAGCTTCTAAACTTATGAATCAAATGAAAAACTTAAAAAATGTTGATATGACAACAAAGGAATACCGAAATAATGAACCATTGACTAATTTGATTGAGGAACAGGAAAGGGCCATACAAATTAGAGTTTAAATGATATTTTGGAGTAAATATAGTGACAAAGAATCGGTTTAGTATCATCAAATGTTTTTGGAATGAAGTGTAATAGATTAACCAGTCTTACATATTGGTTAAGTATTAATAATTTTAAAACGTGTTAATAGAAATTTGAAAGTTTCCACATGAACTCACAAATCAAAGGCTTTCACAGACCATATAGTTTTACATGAAACAACTGTTTTTTTGTCGTTTTACAGATTCTTTGATTTTCATTTATTATTTTCTAATATCACCACTTAAGTTTTGACGAAATGAAGAACTTATGTGTTGAGGAATGTTACAACTACTTTAATTTCAGCGCCACTGAATAGTCACATGTGGACAAAACGCGCGGCTTGTGTACCGAATCATAAGCATAATGTCTTTGGTGAGTTTTACAACCACTAGGTGGACAGCAGAGGTACAAGACGATTCGTCCCCCTTGGTATCGCCAGTCAAGTAGAAGATGCCCCTATATTGACTCGAAATATCATATCATATACGGTAAAGGAGAAGGGCAATTTCGCCCTTACTCGGCCCAAATATAAGTGCAAATTGAAAAGTTGTCCTATCCTAAATTTGTCTTAAGTACGCTTAGATACAAGGTGTTAAGAAAATAAACACAAATTTTACACTCTGCAGTTTTCTTTGTTTTCATGAAAATGATGCACATTGTGACGTAATTGTGACGTCATAGCATCAAAAACTTTATGTGATTCATTTATATTTCTTGATTTTATACAGTTCAAAGCATTGTGTGCAAATTTGAAATAGTTCTCAAAAACTTTATTTTCTTGGGCCAAAACCGGGTCTTAATGCCCCTCCTTATTATTCTATACACTAAAGATTTTCTACCCAATATTATTTTTTACAGTTTTTGACATATGTTTTGGAATTTTGTGTTTTCAATTCAATTCGACTTCGTCCGTGGATTGACATTCCAACTACTTAAACAGAGCGCCACTGACGAGTCTTATGTAGTAAATACGAGCTCCTGACGTACCAAATTATAAAACTGATATCTTTGTTGAGTTTTACAACCACTGGGTTGATACAACTGCTGGTGAAATTTCATCATTGAAGGTATCACCAGCCTAGAAATCAGCACCATCACATGACATTGACGGTCATTGTATTATTTATGTCCGTAGCCGTATTTGACATACTTTAAGACATTTTTTGTTCTCAAATGTTCTTACCTTTTACACTTGCTTTCTTTTCTTTAACTTAATACTTGATTTAGATTTTCTTGTCTTCTTTTGTTTGAGCGCCCCTATTGAGTCCTATGTAGACGAAATACGCGTTTGGCGTACTTAGACATAATTATGTCTGATGTCTCTGATGAGTCTCTTCGAATCGACAGATAAATTTGTCTTAAAATTATGTATGATTTTTTAGGGCTTTTGCCACGGACTCATATTCCGTAGTTGCTGAATAGAGTTAATAATTCATTTTCAACGAAACATGTTGCCATTAGCACTTTTTTTGAAGACCTGTTCATTGCTATTTATTAAGCTACAACACGACGTAGCATTTCCGGAAAGAAGAATAAGCTAACTGAATTGCATTAACAAAAATACCGATCTTCAAAAGGGTGAAGTCCATGAAAAAAAATCAAACGTTACACTATATCGACCAAACGGACCGAATGGAAAACTAATGTTATATTCCTAACTTGGTAACGGCATTTCCCTTAGAAAATGGTGGGTTAAGCTGGTTTTGATAGTTAGCGAAACCTCTAACTACTATGACAGTAGTTTATAGTTCCGTTATATTGACAAAATGTGGTGAAAATCTAATGTAAAAACCTCTTACGTCCGAATCGCACATCTGGGCCCACCTGCACAAGCAACGCCCAAAGCCAAAAACCCGATTGCTGGATGTACAAATACCGAGTTACGTCAAGAGACATACAACCAAAAAGAACATAATAGTTTAAAGACAACTAAAGGGAAACTTGTAACGTAAATAACATGATACACAACTACAGCACCTAGAATTTATATCTCATTATCATCTTGTATTATTTGTGAAGTAATAACAGATGAACGTTTTGCGGAAAAGGTCGAAGCATTCCTTGACAATCCCCTTGCTCATTTATTTTTTGCTCAGACACCAATGATGTTAACCAAGTCTGAGTAGCATCTGCAATCTCTGGAATATAGTATGAGTTGAGAAATCTATACTCCATACGCGGGTGAAGTTGGTACATTGCTGCTGTGGCGAGAAAATTTGATATTTTCAAAATTGAACTGAGATGACAGTTGTCTAATTTTAAGAGTGTATTGTAAATGGAAAGATATTTGTTGAAAAACCTGTATTCGAAATAAAATAATCTATCTTCTTTGATGTTATTTTTTACAAGTGTCTGACGGAACTCCGAGTCATATGAAAATAAGAATATGTCGGCCCGCAGAGGTGTTTATTTGGTTCCCATAGGAATGCCTACAACCTACTGAAAAATTGTTCCTTCAAATTCATTTGATATGTTGTCAATAAAAGAACTCAATGGAAAAAAGCAAAAAAACTGATCACTTTCTCTTTGGTGAAGCATGTTTATTTTTGGACTCATTTTTAACAAAATATGCCAAATTATATCCACTAAACAATAAATTGTTAGCGTATGGTACCATTTGCAATGAGGAAAGCATTGTGGATTATTTCTTTTTGACAGGTTTTCAAGGTTTTAGATAGAATTTATCTCAGAGAATGACCGATATTAGAAATTTTCCAGAAGTTCTTTGAGTTCTTAAGAATCCACATATGGTTTATGCCACTACGTGTGTAAACAGCATTCAAGTATTTCTGTAGTGGTCGTCGTTTAGGGCAATTTATGATGAAATATTTCAAACAAGTGGATTAAATTGCCTGTCTATATTTTGAGTTGTTCATAGAAGAAGCTGTAAGTATATTTGAAATTTCTGAAGCGTTGACAACAACGTACATATGCATGTTTGGTTTTCGTGTTGTTAGTAAAAAAAAGTGAACTCCAACAAGATATCAGTAGTTTTCACGTGGAAAGTGGCACCTTTTATTGGATAATTTATAAGGCATATCACCGAATATCGGGTCGGCTGTTAAATTGATTTCTCCTGTACATGTAGATCAATCAACAGTGTAACCAATTGACATAAAACCCTGTGAGTTAATTATATTCTTTTAAAATTTAGAATACCGAATGCAAAGGGGTGATAGCTAAATAAAAATAGTGAAATGTTACCTACCAGCGTATTTCATTAACAATTCTCTAAATTTAATAGGTAGCTAATAATATTAATGATATTAATAATTTTAAAACCTGTTTCATAACGATTAATATAATGTCAAATTGATTAGCTGTAAAAATCAAAATATATCGTTTTCTTTTTCTGATATTTTCAGTAATAGGTTTTTTTTAAACATTTTAATCTATAAAAAAATAAGCATCGATTGCTTTTAGATGATTGTTTTTTTTTAAGTAAGATCTTTGTATATTGTAGGACACAATAAAGAAGCGGCCTCATGGTGTTATCAATATTGAATATATCACCCATCTTTCGTTGGTGTTGCTAAAAAAATCAATTAAATTCCTACTTACAGCTTCTAATTTATCCTTATGAGTTAAGACAATCATGATTTTAGGAAATCCTGGTCCACTTCCTTTACAATATGTTACTATGGTATTTATCCAAAATCTAAGGTAGTCTAGAATAAAATAGTGAAATGATGTCATCAGCAATTTTAAGGGCACACATTTTGTTTATTATTATGTTTTAACAAAGCAATTTATATGAGCAAATATCAAAATAATGTATACAATTAATTATGCACTTATTTTCACACCAGCGTGATTGCGTTTTAATTGGAGTATATTATCTCAAAAGTATAACAAGCCAAAACATAGACGATTTTTAAAAAAAGGAGATGTGGTATGATTTCTAATGAAATAACTTTTCACTAGAGATCAAATTACGTAGATTTTAACAACTAAATATCGCCCTGGTGCCTTCAACAATGAACAAAACTCATTCCGCACAGCAAGCTATAAATGGCATCGACATGACAAAATGTTAAGCAATTCAAACAATGCCCAAACGTTTTATTTAATTACAAAACAAGAAACAAAAAGCAAATATGATAAACAGTACGAAACGACAACTACTGAGATACAGGTTTCCAAACGGGCTAGACTCATCAGATCGATACAAATGGCAAAACAACTATTTGTTTTACTTTTGATATCATTGCGTTAACATTATTTTAAGACGAAAACAGTTAATCATGTTAAACATAACGTATAGTAAACTAGAGTGTATCAAACACCCAGTGGCATCCCTTCCATCTCTGTTAAAAATATGTTCAATAACAAAACAATTGCAGTGTGGCGCTAATTATAACAAGTAAACAGTCAGGGAATAGTCGCATTCGATGATTGCTTTTTTTATAATCAGTTTAAAAACTATTCATAGTTTTGTGTTTGCACTGGTCTCACATTGTTAAATCTCAACCTATTTTTCATGTTTTATAAAATCACATATATAAGGGAACATTTAAAATGCATGGTATCTTATAATGTTAAATAATAAGGACGTGGTTTTGTATTAACTTTATGATTAAAATCTAAATTGTTGATAGAATAAGTCTATTTGTATGTTCTGCTACTCTGTTAAAATTATTTAAATGTTGAATATGTTCTGATGTTCTAAATTGTGAAAAATCTGTGTACTTGGCAAATAACGGCATTGTTCATTACAATGTCTTTTGTCACACGTGGCACAGAAAACATTTAAATTAACCAATAATAATACTGTCTTGATGGCAGAAGTCAACAAGGCTACCTTGTGTATTGCTGTTTATTTTAATTTGATTATAGGAAAATAAACAATTTCTTGTGTGACTTATTGACTGTATAAGAATCGTTAATAATTTCCTCAAATATGATTTAACACATTTAAAGACCGATATTTTGAAAAACTGAGTTTAGTTGTCAAGACGATTGTATATATTTGTCAAGTAATTAGGAAATGTTTTTGTGAAAGATCGCATAAAGTCAAGAAAAATGAACAAATCAGAGTTCATATTCATTACATAAAAGTTCCACGACACTCGTCTGTTCCATAATTTGCTATATAATTGCTGCAGAAATAATGGGAATACAAATCATTTTAAACATGTTAAAGTTGAAAATTTCAGTTTTTCCCCTCACTATTAACCTGGATATGGAGTTTTCTCTAAAATTCTTAAATGATACCTGTATTTTCAATGAATTATAATAATTTTGTAATATTTGAAGGAGAGTAGACTGTGTTTCCTCTTCATGCAATTAACGTAACAGTAATTTAAAGAGGTCTACTCTTATAAATGGATTTAAAACATACAATTCACGGTTGCAAACAAAAACTGAGTATACAGTATCAATTTCAATGGAAGTGAAACCGTGTGTGGTCAATAGGATAAGCGTCTCCTGCCTTGCATGTATCACCCTTTGTGCGATTTGATACTTAATATGTGGCAATCTGGAATATATCAAAATCTTCAAGATAAGAAGTCAGATGACTATTCTAATACCTAAAGATTCAAGACGGCAATAACATGTCTCTATTGATTCTAGGCACAGACACATCATAATGTTAAACATAAAACCAAATGAATCAATAAGCATGTATGTATAGCTATATTATATTGTAAAAGATAGCCATTTAATTTCATTTTGTGTTATCACTAAATAAAATGTTTATCTTCGATAAATATTAATAGAAATCAAAAACTAAAAACATAAATTTTTGAGAAACTGTATAGTAAACAGTGTTTTTTTAACTCCATATGTTTTAATTCATCATGTGTAGCCTAGTTGATTTGATGATATAAAATCATTACAGTTTTGGAAATATGTGTACATTGTACGGCATGTTACAACGAGAAGTTTCGTAGGTACTTGTTTGACAGTATTCCGATTAATATAAATGAAAACAACTTTACGAAATACTCATTACCTCGTGCTGTTTTACCTCCACTCTTTCCAGGAAGATACTGTTCAAACGGACACGGATCATCAAGGGTTCTACTACCATCTAACACTATTAAGTAAATTGCTCGATATGTAAGAAATGTTTGGTGGGTGCTATAGAAGACATCTTGGCCTCCAAAATCCCAAATGATAACTGGAGCTATTTTTTTCTGGTGTAATTTCTTCTTTCCAGCTTTCATCGATTTCTTCAAAAATCTGTCTTTTGTCATGGACACCTTTATTTCTGTTACATCTTTTTGAACACCAAATAACTTCTTTAACTTGCCAATAATGCCACGATCCTTAAATACTTCAGTGGTAGTACTAATTTCTTGGGATTTGATATGTGGTTTTGAATGACATTCTACCATATTAAAACAACGTTTTATATATTTATATGTCTCTAGTAATATCAAATCTTGTTAGAAAAACACATCAACAGTATGAAAGAAAACTTGTCTAAATATATAATATAACAGAGTACTTAAAGCAAAAATTTTTTTATGTATTTTTAATTTTTTGTGAACAATTTTCAGAAACAAGCAAGTAATATGAATACAATCTGAAAATAAATATTCCATTCGTATCGTAATTTTATTGTCAATAGAATAGAAAGGCTGAATTAAAAATAATTGTCTAGAATCAATATTTTAGTAAAAAAAAAAAATCATAAGAAATTGTCTTTTTTCAAAGTTTCAAACGCGCTCACTCGTGACATTTTTAAATTGCTACCGTCATAGAATTTTTAAACGTTTAGACAACTTCTTTTGGAAAATTTGTACAGATATGTGATGCTTTTAATGAAATATTTTTCAGATATATGTTTAAGGGATCATTTCTGTTCATATGACGTCAGGGATATTCGATAAAACACTTGATGATTTCTACAAATTGTTAAAAATGTATTCTGCTTGAAAATTAATGAGCTTTCCCTTCCATTCCTAAATTTTACTATCATTTGAGATCTTAAGTATTTTCGTCAATTTTGGGAAGTTCATAAAACTATCATATGTACCATTCAAAAGGTATGAGATAACGGATACTTGAAACAGCTAGTTGAGAGTTTCGATCTTATTCTTCCATCTGTAACATGTGCTGATAGGGAGGTAGAATAACTCTGAATTATACATCATAAGAAAACATACCTGAACGGGAAAAATCTTCTTTTTCTTTTGCAGAATGAGGTGATTCATTTAGCGGAACCATATTTTCATCTGAAATATTTGGTATAGTTTCCCTACGGACTAGCAGAGGAGTAACTTCTTTTTTGCCTCTTTGTAGTATTTCTACAGCAGATTTCCAAGGTATGACAGGAGATGTCTCTGTTGATGCTTTGGTTTTAGTTCGCTTCTCTAAAGATACATCTGCCTTTCTAATATCATCCAAGCTACTACTATATTTATTTTCCATGCATTTATCCTCAACAAGGCCTGGATCATTCTCAGAACGAATGTAAATAACCTCATCTCCAGTGATTTCTGTTTTATAGATGCAATGAATAAGCGTTGATTCTTGAAAAAGAAACCATGAGCCCGGATTGCGAATGGTTTGTTTTTCATGAATCAACGCTTATTCATTGTATTTCTGACTTAAACTATTGTGTTGATGTCTTTTCAAAATTAAAGCCTTTTCTTAATTAGAAGGTATTGTAAGTGAGTTTAAATAACCATGTTATCATGTTCAACGATGCATTAATAAATATAAGTTCACAATTAATTGGTTAGAGAAATACAAATATAACATAACACGTCTGTCGTTAAATTATCAGGCATCTGAATATCATCCGTAAATCATAAAATAAGACATATTCGAACTTATTTCTAAATACATATAATAAGTATGCTCCCGAAAATTCTATCAAGAAGCCTAATTCTAGACACATCACGATTTACTCGCATAGGGATTTGTGAATAAACATTTGAAAAGATATGTAGTTAAAGTGATGAAAGCATATTTTCTCGTTGTGTTGAAGACCGATTGGTGGCGTTCGGCTGTTTTCTGCTCTTTGGTCGGGTTGTTGTCTCTTTGACACATTCCCAATTTCTATTCTCAATTTTATATTTATAAAACAAAAATGGACAAATTGAATGTAATCATTTTCTTTTCAATTATGTGAAATAGCCACTAATCATCCAAAAATAAACGGGGAAACCCGCTATTATTACAAAAATATCCACAGTAGCATACACAATAAGAAAAACAGAAAACTAAAGAATAGGGACAACAAAGAGAATACAGGGATTCGAACCGAAACCGTACAAGTTTCTACCTTTAATTTGACTCTTTAACTCATTGATATTAACTAGGTTAACCTCGTGGCTACCAATTTATATCATACGATTGTCTATTATGTATACATAAAGGTACAAGCCCTGTGTGTCCGTTGTACCGATGTGTATCATATGTTCATTCATATATATAAACTAGACATTTAAATTGCAACCCATTGGTAGCCGAGAGGTTTCGTCGATGTGTTGATGTCAGTAACACCTAACAGATTTCAATGAAGGGGTTCGATTCCCGGTGAAAGCATATAAAAATTACAAAAATTAAAGGTAAGTTTTTAAATAAGTTACATTAGTGAACAGGAATCAGTAAATTGGCCAATTCATACTTAATGAAATTAGGCACACAAAGGAAACAATATAATATGATTTGGTGAGTCCATTTAAGCGAAAGATTTAGGAAGTGTTGATTCTAGAAAAAGAATCCACAGTAGATGAATCGGCTGACGTCACGACAATGATTTAACTGTGAACCAGCAATGCATGTTCCACATCTTTTCTATCAATTATATCCAGATCATTTGCGAGGGTTGTTTCCTACAATGACATAAATGTTATGCAATGGGCTGAATCTGCAGTTGAAGATAACAGATTTTCAGATGTTAAGTCTTGACGAGCTAGCCTATCAGTACTTTTTTCATCTCGATCTGTCACCTTACCGTCCAATTTGATGCTAGTCGACGTGTCTGCAATTTGTGACAAAGAACTAGTGATGACTTCTCCTGATAATGATAAGTGCAAAACTATTTTTGATACGTAAATGAAAAAATATATATCGAATACTTTCAACATAATATCTAATAAAATCATAAAACAATATATATTTATTAACAATATCGCTTTATACTTAAGAATCATTTAATCATTGAAAATTAATAAAAAAAAACTCATGAAAACTAGCACCTTTTTCAGCTACACGATTGGGGTGATTAGGTTAATACAAGTCTTTTGGTTAGTTTAAAAGATGCATTGTTCGAAATATTTGTTTTTATAATGAATGGTATCAGATCAGAACACACGTTATTTTGTCAACTAATAATCAAGAATGCAATCAATACTCTTCTAAACGAAGGATATTTTTCGACTTTCAATCTGGAGCAGATATTTCCGGAAGATTTATTATATATGATGCCAGAAATTAATATAAATCGTGTAACATACATTCTATTCCACGTTTGTAAGCTTTATTTTCAAATGGTAGATAGCTCTTATTTTTTATAGCCATAAATGAATAAGAGGATTCTCTTTTGTCATTCACGAATTCGTATATTTGACCTTTTGATTTTGTTCTGATTATTATTCCGCCAAAGTTTTATCTTTCGTCAAAGTTTTGTTTATGAATTCTTGTTGAATTTGTGTATCAGACATATGCTCCCCTCGGTCATTCAGCTGGCCTGAGAACACATTTATTGCATAGTGCATTTGTTTTAGACTAAAAATGCAAATTAAAAAGATAACACCTACTCTATCAAAAAAGATTTTACAGTGTAGTGTACTACTTTTGGGACAAATTATATCAACATTATAGATAAGTCTATCGGTTCTAACTCAAAATATGGACAATTTTATGTTAAGGGGGTCTACATGTGTATTTCAGTTTGAATTAAGACATACTAATTTTCGACCTTCTCAAACTGGATCAAATCACTACTTTACCTAAAAAGTCATGCCTTATATTTTTTTACATGTAATTTCATTCCTCTACTAACCATGTTATGCATAAAATATAAGGAAATTAATTTGGAAGGTGTATGAAAAAATTTTGCAAGTAATACACTGTCCATACTAGGGACTCTTTTGTAGACAACAAAAAAACAAAGGACGATAACTGTGTCCCCGGTCTTTATATATCTTTGTCGTTCATGTTTGATGACTTACCTTTACGTTGTCGTAAAGATCTACTGATTACTACTTCTGATAATGTAAAACCTTTAGAAAATGATTAAAAAAGAATTATAATATTTCTTTGAATGTTGTTGTCGTGTAAGTAATACATGTAATATGTATTCTATCATTACGTCAAAATAATAAAAGTATACCTTATTATAAAAATAGCACCATTAAAAACAAATCATTCTTTTGAGATCTACCAATAATATCTAATTTTATTTTCACTTAAGCTAGGTAATAGATAGATAATTAGCCATTAACATTAACTACATAGTGTCACCGACTTGGTTTTAAATATGAAATGCCATCTATTTTCATAGAACATTGAAAAAAGGACTATTAGTTATTGACAGTTTAGTATTTTATAAAAAGTCAGTATCACATAAAGATTGTTTTTTTTTGTAAATAGTGTTACTAGTAGAAATTATGTTATCATAATTATTGATATTATCATCTCATCAGAGACAAATGATAACGATATATTGCTAAAATATGAAATAAAATAAGAAAATAAAAAATTTGGGTCACGGTACTGGAAAAACGAAATATTTTGAAAAAAGGCATAAAAATTTGAAAAAAATGTAAGGTCGAATTCATCAAGTTTCCACGGATTGTGTACTTATTTAATTCCCGTTATTTGTTTGTTTGATATGCATTCCTTTTTTAATCTTCATGCCGACAACTACAGACAACTACCGCACACAGACAATTTTTGTTTCATAAACAAACATTATGCACCTGGATTCGGACAATTGTGATGTCGAACGTTCACCGGTTTCATTTGACAAGCGTTCAACCTCAACAAGTCGGAACGAAATGGTTTAAATAAAAATAAAACCACAGCGTTATTAAAGAACGTATGTTAACCTTTATAGATATATTTTGTTTTAACATATATGTGTCATTGGGTAACTGTGGTTTTGACGTTAATTCAAAATCTATTATTTTATGATCAAGATCAAGATATGATGATAGTTTCGGTCGTTTCCTTAATCTTACTAGCTTGATTGTAACAGGATATCCTTAATATAACTAAAAGTAAAATTAAAGAACTTTGTAGTATTGTTAATTTCAAGATCACTGAAATATATGAGAAACAACTCTCACTTCTACGTGTTTAAATTATTCAAAACTCTTTTTAACGAGAAAAAAAGGGGGGAGGACGTAATACTTTGAGCGTGATATGTATTCATGAGTATTTTTTTCTCTCACTATTTATGGCCGCAGTTCACATAGAAAATGAGTCTATGTTTACAAATTTTACCTAACTGGATATCTCATTATTTGGAGAAAAACATTACCTTGTTTACCGTGCATCCATTCTTTAGTCTCACGGTCGATAAAGGACAAAGCATTATATAAGTCAATTCCATCAGTCGATATTTTGATTTTAGTCGGTCCTTTACCAACAAGATATCTTGCAATAGTAGTTTTACCAGTTCCTTGCTCTCCGGCTAACATAACACGAGCTTCATAATGATTGTATCCTTCTTCCTCTAATAAACTTGCAAAAACTTTTGCTGAGTGCTTGTCGAGATGTTTAACCTCTATGGGTAAACCTATGAAATTGTAATTTTACAATTATATACAGTTGATAAAAAAATGTATGTCTCTCAAGTTATGTTAAATTCTCGAATTTGACTAATCACACAACGCAAGTAGCGCAAGTAAAAAATACTTTTGGGCAAGACTGTTCAAAATGATAGAAACGTGTTACTTTAATCGTTGAAATATAATGAAAAGGAAATAAGACAAGCACTCTAAACAGTCAAGGAACAACTTTGACGATAGCAGAACAGTTTCAGGTCCTAAATAGAATAGCATTTTCTCGTGTAACAATCATCAATAAAATATGACGCGAGTACAGGAATACTGGTGGAGTTGTAAAAAGGCTCGTTTGTGTTGTAGTCCATTATATTAGTAATATAAAAAAAAGTGTTATTTTGATTTAAAAACATAACAAGTTTAATGTAACACATGCAAATTCCGAACATTCAATTCTCTTAGTGTTGGTCGACATCACTGTATGGAAATATAACAATTCAGTAAGTAGAAGGGAAATAACACAACTATAACACACAAATAGAAAACTTACCCATCTGCAAATATTCTTCATATTCCTTAAAAAAATAGAAATCGGGATTTCTTTATTTTGTATACATCTTTATTAAACTATGGTATTTAAATACCCCTACAATGGCAAATTTAACCCTCTGTAAGTGTCAGATTTTCTAATCATCATAGTTATACGAAATACTCTATATAGTAAAAATACTCTAATACAATTGTGGTTGATTAAAACATGCTGGAAAAGAAGTTTCATCATTTTACCTGAACTATGGTATTTTTACCCCCTAACTGTGGAATATGGAACCCCTTCAGCTAATAGGTAATAATTGAAATTTATAATAGTGTCTAAACTACTTAAACTAGTAACAATATCGTAAGTATTACCTTGAATAAAAACATTATCCTGGGAATGATTTAATGTTCAATGTTGTTACCATGGAATTTTGAACCCCTTTTATTTATTTCTTTAAGTCTTCAGGATAAGTTGAAAATTGTAGGAAACGTTGAATTTCGCTGAAAAGGGCTATATGTTCCAAAGTCTGGGAAAAATGAGAAAAATTTCCTCAAACAACTCCATAATAGCATGTGCATAGCTTAAACTTATGTGCAATCTTCTTGTGAAATTTAAGGGATCTTAGTTGACACCTGTAGGAGGAGTTGATTACACACATACGTTATTCACTTTTCCATGTCCTCTCACTGTGTAATACTTAAACCTGAGTTTTGATGAATTATTGAAGTTTTCTTCAAAGTTTACAAATTTGAATACAATTTTCGCACTGATGTGAGCTATTTTATTTCTACATTTAAAATATATATAAAAGGAGGAAATTTTATTGGACGACAAAAACAATTCAATTTCAAAACTTAAATCTATGGAAAATACTCTACTGAAGTGTTATTGAAAAAATTGAAAAATCGTATAAAAGAAATACTTTTAAATATAAAAATGGTAGTATACGCTATAAATGTATTGCTTTGGAATAACATACGGCATATTTAGTTAAAAGTGAACAAAATGGTAAAACATTTTACACGAAGAAACAGTGATCAGTATGCTGGAGTTTCTTACTGACAACATATTTGTTGAATTTGGAGGTAGACTTTTTCAACAAATTTTCACAATTCCTATGGAAACGAACTGTGCGTCAACATCTTCTTATGTTCATATGAGTCGTATTCGGAGTTCCTTTAGACACTTGTCAAAAACAAGATGATCAAAGAAGCCTAATCATTTAATTGCACATTAAGATATATTGATGATGTTCTTTCAATTAAAAATCCAAACATTTTTCCTTTTTAGAAAAATGAAGTACGTCACACTCTTAATAACATTGAAATCTTAAGAACACTATCAGGTTTAAAACTAAACAGATCAAAAACAGAGGGCATTTGGTTAGGGAAATTTAAACATTGTAAAGATAAGTTTGAAAATATTGTATGGAATAAAAGACCAATTAAAAGTCTAGGAGTTTATTTTGGAACTAATCGAGCTGAATGTGGTAAGCTGAATACTGAAAAAATAATACAAAAATGTGCAAAATTAATAAGCAACTGGAAAAAGAGAAATCTTACAATGATAGGTAAAATAACAATAATTGTAAAATCTCTTATTATACAAAACCTTACATATCTAGCTTCAGTAACAAACCTACAACATGAATTTATTCAAGAGTTTAAAACCCTTATTTACAATTTTATATGGAAGTGTAAACAAGAAAAAGTAAAACGAACGATATTAAGCAAAGATACGACTGATGGAGGTCTTAAGATGACAGATATAGACAATTATATAACTGCACTGCAAAGAGTGTGGGTATAAAGACTAACAGCAGATAATTTTGCTAACTGGAAAGTGATTCCGACATTTTCCTTAAATAAATTTGGTGGTGATTTCATGTTACTTTACATGAAACCGGACACTATTTAATCAATACAAAACTTACATAAAATTTTACCAAAACTCTATTTAGAAATTGTAAAGTCCTGGTTCAAAGTACAAAATTGAACTAATGTCAAAATTAGTTTGAATTTTAAAAACATAAGACAACAAATCTTATGGGGAAACAAAATGATAAAGTTTCAAGGAAAGTATTCAGTTTTTATAAAATGGATAAAAGAAGGGATTATATATATTAATGATATTATTGACCAGAATGGTAACATCTCCCAAGATATAATATCTAATAAAGTATCCTAAAAATCCTATCTAATGTTTAAAATTTTAAAACTAAAATATGCTATACCAGATGAATAGCTAAAGGTACTTAAATCAGATAAATGAATAAAATCAAAAGTAAAAAATAAACTTAAACTATGCATTAAGACAAAGGAAAAATGAAGATATAAATAAGAAGATGTGGTATGAGTACCAATGAGACAACTCTCCATCCAAGTCACAATGTATAAAAGTAAACAATTATAGGTCAAAGTACGACCTTAAACACGGATCCTTGGCTCACACCGAACAGCATACTATAACTGCCCCAAAATGACTAGCGTAAATAATTCAAATAGGAAAACCAACTGTCTAATCTATATAAAATACGAGAAACGAGAAACACTTATGATATTTTTATTGTTTTACTTATGATATTACTTATGTTTTACTTATGATATTGGTTTGTGACCCGGGTTTGTTTTTCGCTTTCCGACTTATGACTATTGAACAGCGGTATACTACTCTTGCCTTTATTATGAACCACACCAACAAACGACAACGACTGAACAACAGACTCCTAGTATCAGGTGGTAATTTTCCATTACTGTAAATATGTTTACAAGTAATGGAAACAAAACAGATATATACACACGTTAATAATACTAGAAATGAAGACATGCCTCCAGGTTTTTTAAAATGGAAAAGTGTACCACATTTAAATTCTTTAATCCCAATTAAATCAATCAAATTTGTATTTATTTATTTAAAAGATAACAGATTAAAAATATTTAAATGGAAATTGTTGCATCAAATCCGTCCTTGTAAACAACTGCTTTTTCAATGGAAGATAAAAGATAATTGTAAATATGACATGTGTAATCAAACGGAAGATTATAAACAGTTTTTTCTGGAATGTCAATACTTTAAAGCCTTTTGGGAAAAAGTCAAAACACTGTTAAATAAAATTAAAATTGGTCATCATATCCTAACGTTCAGAAATCTTAATGTAGGTTATAAAATCTGGGACAGCAGTTATTATGATATAAATCTTTTGATAACAATCATTTCATTTTCCATCCATAAGTGCACTCACATTTCAAATGATAAAACTACAAATATTGATGTATATGCCATGTTCAAAAAATATTTTTTGAACTATTTTAATATTTCGATACTAACAGGTGGTAAACATGGTAAAATTTTGAAAGAAATAAGCCTGTATATATAATCATTGTTTTATGCATATATATGTTATATGTTATATTTTTACAGCAAATATATGTGGGTTCAGTTACAATGGCTTATCCATCCCTAATTGATCCTTCGACCACATGTTGTGGACTTCGTGATGATCATGTTCGATGATAAAATATTAAACCCTATTTATCTTAACTAGCTACTTTCCTTAAATTACATAATTAAAATTAACAAAAAGTATGTAAACCCTTCAATTCACAACCACGTACATATAAATTACAATGAAAATAGCTTTGTCAAATTGCCTCCATGGCGTGATCGTTGATCAACAGGGTCATAACCAGGTCAACTAACGTATACAAAGTCAAATCAGTCCATGAATGTAATGTTTCCGGGAAATAAAATCTGTAGTAATCTTTTGTAGACATAGAATGTAAATCTAACAATTGATTATTATTTACTGAACAATCTCCCTGTTTTTTCAGCAAAACTAACCTCACAGGGGTACCCTGTCAAATGCTGTAAACGTGGTATTTTTATAACAGCATATAGTGCAATAAACTTGATTTTAGAAAAAGAAAAATCAAAACTTTTCTCATTGGGTTTCATTAATATATCCTCCAGAACTATAAATAAAAAAAATGACACGCATTCCTCCATTTCATTTTTTAGACTTATACTTCGAATTTGACATAAGCGGTCACCTCAGTACTAGAATCGTTGACAAACGAGAAGATTTAAATTTCCCTAAACCTAAGTAGAAATAAATCAAATATTGTTGTCAATATAATGGAATTATATGCGACTGTCATATAAGTGAGAGGTTTATCTAGCTATAAAACCAGGTTTAATCCACAATTTTCCATAAGAGGAAATGCCTGTACCAAGTAAGGAATATAACAGTTGTTGTCCATTCGTTTGATGTGTGTGTGAGCTTTTGAATTTGCCATCTGATAAGGGACTTTTCGTTTTGAATTTTCTTTGGATTTGTTTTTTTATCTTACTTTTCGATGGATAAATTTAAAAAGAAATTTTTTTTTTTTTCACGAACATACATTAATGCAACAGTAATTTACCGATGTTCAACTCTCATTATTCGCTTAAGAGAA